CTAAAGGGACCCCTGACCATTAGGTCCAGTCATGACCGACTCTGGGGTTGCGGCGCTCATCTCGCTTTATTGGCCAAGGGAGCCGGCACACAGCTTCCAGGTCATATGGCCAGCATGACTAAGCCGCTTCTGGTGAACTAGAGCAGTGCACGGAAACACCGTTTACCTCCTTGCCAGAGCGGTACCTATTTATCTACTCGCACTTTGATGTGCTTTCGAACTGCTAGGTTGGCAGGAGCTGGGACTGAGCAACGGGAGCTCACCCCGGCGCAGGGATTCGAACCGCCGACCTTCTGATCGGCACGTCCTAGGCTCTGTGGTTTAACCCACAGTGCCACCCGTGTCCCTACTACTAGGGACTACTAGATGGCAACTTTAAGTTCGCCATTGCAAAGAAGGACTATTGCTACAAACAGCGATGCAGGTGGCACTGCAGTCTAAATCACTGAGCCTCTTGGGCATGCCTATCAGAAGGTCGGAGGTTTGAATCCCCATTGCTCCCGTTGCTCGGTCCCAGCTCCTGCCTACCTAGCAGTTCAAAAGGACACCAATGCAAGTAGATAAATAGGTATTGCTGTGGCGGGAAGGTAAATGGTGTTTTCCATGAGCTCTGGTTTCCGTCATGTCGTTCCATTGCACCAGAAGTGATTTAGTCCTGCTGGCCACATGACCCGGAAAGCTGTCTGTGGACAAACGCCGGTTCCCTTGTCCTGAAAGCGAGATGAGCACCACAACCCCATAGTTGCCTTTGACTGGACTTAACCGTCCAGGGGTCCTTTGCCTTTTTTAAAATTTATTTTACAAAACAGAATATTGTAAGTTCAGCTGCAGATTTCCCTGCATCAGGCTCCTTCTGAACACATTACAGCAGGCATCTACAAACTCGGCCCTCCAGCTGTTTTGGGACTACCATTCCCATCATCCCTGACCACTGGTCCTGTTAGCTATGGATGATGGGAGTTGTAGTCCCAAAACAGGCGGAGGGCCAAGTTTGGGGGTGCCTGCATTATAGGCATACCTCATTTTAATGAGCAGCCTCCATAGCTCAGTTGGTGGAGCATGAGACACTTTTAATCTCAGGGTTTGCATTTTTAAGCCCCACGGGGGAAAGAAGATTCCTCCATTGTAAGGGGTTGGACCTCATGGTCCCTTCCAGCTCTACATTGGAAGTGCTTTATTGCGCTTCACGGATATTGCTTTTAAAACACACACACAAAATGAAGGACTGGAGGAGTCAACATCGAGCCAAGACCCTCCATCAGCAAAAAGATCCTGACTTGCTGAAGGCTCAGAGTTTGGTTACCATTTTTAGCAATAAAGTATTTTTAAATTAAAGTATATACATTGGGTTCCCCCCCCCCCAAAAAAAATAGGGCTATTGCGCACTTAACAGACTACGGTATAGTGTAAACGTAACTAATATATGCGTTGGTGGGGGGAATTATGCGACTTGCTTTATTTCAATATTCGCTTTACTGCGGTGGTCAGGAACAGAACCCCGCAATATCTCGGAGTCATGTCTTCATTTACAAATATGACCAATAGACAGAAGGAACAATCCCTGTGCAACAAACATGCTATGGGCATAGCCAAAGGGGGAGTGGGGCAGCTGTCCCCCCCAATCAAATAAATCAATAAAAATACTTAACTAACTGGGGTTCTGCTCCTCTCAACATAAAGCCTGCCCCCTAACATAAATCCTGGCCACGTCCAAGAAACATGCCAAGCCCTAATTTGGTTCCGCCCTGCTTCTCTTCTTATTCCTGAGCTATCCCACTTTTCTAGTTATGGCCACATCTCACTTTTGTCCCTGGGGGACATTTAAATATTAGTTAATGGGGGGGTGCGGTTCTGAGGAACAAAGTGAGAACCAAAACAAGGCCATCCTTTGAAATTCACAGTTACCTGAATTCTGTGATGTACTTCTCCAACTAACCAATGCTCACAAAAATGCAGATTATATGAGGAAAGCGTGCATAAAAAATGAATATTTTTGTAAAAATTAAAAAAAACATACAAAATGTGTTATATTAGGGGGAACTGCTTGCAAAAAATAAATAAATCGCAAATTTGCTGCAGAGATGTAGAGAACTGAATTTAAGATTCGAAAAATGAGAAACTGGGAGGACCTAAATAGACAGATCCTTCCATCTATAGCGGTCCCAGTGTTTGTGCTGGAATGAGCTTGAAATAATTTGATATTCCTTGCCTCCTGCTCTTTATTGCTGCATTTCTAATTTTAATATTGTACATGCTTTCCAGTGATTTTATCAAATATCATAAGCCACTTTGGGAAAATGTTGCATTTTGAAAAGGAAGCTAACAATAAATAAATACATAAGCGTGTTGATGTGAGATTACTGTTAATCTGATGCCATGCAGTGTTAAGAGTTGTATCTTTTGATTGTACTTGTCAGAGACTGACAGTGCAATCCTATGCATTTAACCGTGTTCTAGGGTCCCAGGTCTACATGATGGTGGTGACTCTAGGGCTTGTGGGAGTGGTTTGATGCAGGGAAACCAAAGAAGGATGTCAAAAGCGCCAGAATGGCCAGTTCTAGCACTTTATTTAAAAAGGTGTCAATGTGCAACACACTGTACAGAGCCTTGCTACCTTTGCAGACATAGGTCAAACACCGCAGCCAATCTGGGCAGCTTCCAACATATATAAAAAACATGATAAAACATTAATTTTTTTTTATAAAAAAAACTTCCCTATACAGGGCTGCCTTCAGATGACTCCAGGTTGGATAACTCCATACCCTCCAATATTTCTCCGATGAAAATAGGGACGTCCTAAGGAAAAGGGATGGGACACGGGTGGCGCTGTGGGTTAAACCACAGAGCCTAGGACTTGCAGATCCGAAGGTCGGCGGTTCGAATCCCCATGACGGGGTGAGCTCCCGTTGCTCGGTCCCTGCTCCTGCCAACCTAGCAGTTCGAAAGCACGTCAAAGTGCAAGTAGATAAATAGGTACTGCTCCGGCGGGAAGGTAAACGGCGTTTCCATACACTGCTCTGGTTCGCCAGAAGCGGCTTAGTCATGCTGGTCACATGACCCGGAAGCTGTACGCCGGCTCCCTTGGCCAATAAAGCGAGATGAGCGCCGCAACCCCAGAGTCGGCCACGACTGGACCTAATGGTCAGGGGTCCCGTTACCTTTAAGGAAAAGTGGGACATTCTGGGATCAAATCAGAAACTTGGGATGGCTTCTATAAATCCAGGACTGTCCCTGCCTGGAAAATAAATAAAAAATTAATTTTGTTATTTATTTCGACCGCGTCAGACCAACACAGCTACCTACCTGAACCTGAAAAATAGGGATACTTGGAGCGTCTGCAGTTTGAGAGAAATTGTGGTCCTCTGTGAGACATGGTGTCTCTCGAGTTCCAGAGTTCCTTATGCTTAGGCAGGGAGGAGAGAAAAGGGACACAGATGCCAGCGACAGTGAGAGCCAGTGCCATCGGTACAATTTGGAGGCTTGTGATGCGTGCCAGTAAATGTTTAGTATGCATGGGAATATACACCATGCGGCCACAACTGGATATACAAACACAGAGTTCTTCTAGGGACAATTGACGTTCTTTGAAAGGAAGCTCTGGTTTTCAAATGATTATTCTGAACCGCCAGGGGGCGCAAGAGGCGCACGGACGGAAACGCGACTGGAGGGAAAAACCAACCTCGATACCAAGTAGGAAGCTGGAAGGGGGGGGTCCCCAAATGTGGGCGTGTCTGGTGCGGGCTGCTGGGCGGCGGATTGGAGGAAAGCAAAAGGGGAGGGGCGACGAGTCTTACCTACGTCGTTTTACGTCCCTTCAAGCGCGCGCGCGTATGAATATACATATTTCTGAGGCGAGAGCGACGTCACCCGCCGCGCTTCCTTACGGAAGAGGTGACGCTTTTGACGCGACGGGTCAAGGGCGAGCGGGGCGTGGCCGGCGCCGGATCGATCGGCCTTGCGAGTCGTGAGTTGGTTAGGAGCGCGGAGGGAGAGAGGAGGGCGTGGCCTCCGGCGAGGAAGGGCTCGCCTGAAGAAACCGCCCTCCAGTCTCCGCCCTCGCATGAGGGAAGGGAGGCGTGGCCTCAATCCGAAAGCGGGAGGGGTGAGGGGGGGCGGGACGGCTGGTTGCCATGGGTTCGCTTCCGGCGCTGCCTGGCGGAAGTGGCTGGAATTCTGCTGCTGGCTGCCGTTTGCTGCCATTGCCCTCGGTCAGTGCGCGGGGAGGCGGGGGGCGCCCCTCTCTCCGGAGGAGTTGGGGGGGCAGCGCGGGGCCCCCCCGAGTGAGGCGGGCGGGGGAGAGAGGGACCGAGAGGGGTATGGAGGGGGAAGGGACGGAGGGGAGGGGGGGAACCGAAGGACACGAGGGAGGGAGCAGGGCAGCCCTTCTCCGCCCCGCGCCCTATTTATCCGCGTATTTAGTAGCGCCTGTGCTTAGGGAGCGAGCCTGAGGGAAGCGAAGGGGCTGCTCGCAGTCGGCCGGGAGCGGGGCGCAGAGAAGGAGCCGCGAAAGGCCCTGTCACTTGACTTTTTAAAGGGGAGACCTCTTCCCTATAGGACCTCCCTTCCCCTGGTCAGTAAGAGCGCAGATAAGCAGCAATGTCCTTACAATATATAGGTGAGCATAAGAGGCTGCCTGGTACTGGGTAGCCCAGTATCGTTTTCTCTCACAGGTAGTAGCTGCCCCAACTCTTAAAAGCTGCACTGGTGTTTTTGTGTGCATATATATATATATGTGTATATATACACTCACGGTGGTACCTCGGGTTACATACCTTTCAGGTTACAGACTCCGCTAACCCAGAAATAGTACCTCGGGTTAAGAACTTTGCTTCAGGATGAGAACAGAAATCATGCTCTGGTGGTGCAGTGGCAGCAGGAGGCCCCATTAGCTAAAGTGGTGCTTCAGGTTAAGAACAGTTTCAGGTTAAGAACAGACCTCCAGAACGAAGTAGTTAACCCGAGGTACCACTGTGTGTGTATGTTTGTGTATATATATATATATATATATATACACACATACACACACACACGAGATATACGTGTGTGTGTGTTTATTTTGACCTGGGATCTGTTGTGATGAAGGGTGGGCTAGATAATGTACCTAATAAAGAAAATTATTATGGCACTGTTTATAATAATATATTATTAATAAGAGTTTATTTATAAGCCACCCGTCTGACTGGGCTCCCCCAGCCACTCTGGGCAGCTTCCAACAAATCAAAACACTAATGAATTATGTGACCCCTGCAATCTATGTGAGGGAAGGTGTGTGACAAGCGGTCCCATCTGTCCTTCAGCGTCGGGCAAGAGGTTACGTTTTAGAGAAATGATTAGATGACTGCCCTCCCGGGTTTGCGTGAAGCAACAGAGTTATTCACAGGAAAGTTCCGGTCTCAGTTTGTGTTTATTATGTTTTTATAAGTGTTGGAAGCCACCCAGAGTGGCTGGGGCAACCCAGTCAGATGGACAGGGTACAAATAAATAATTATTATTAGTGGTAGTGATCAAGGCTTATGTAGGAATGAGTTGCTTGAAAGGCAGAAGGTTTTTAATCTAGTTTTATATGCTACACAGGGGCATGGTGACTGAGGCGAGAACAATTGGCGACGCAGTGTTGTGCCTCCGGCCAGGGAATCCTACTGGCATTGCTTAAATCCAGCAAGAACTTGTGTCTTTTTTGAGATTGTGTCTAAAAAAACATCTACAGTGCTGAGAGATGTGGAACCAGGCTTAAGGACAACTGAGAAGAACAGCTAGACACTGAGGACAATGAGAGTGCTTTGCTCCATGGGTTTTCTGTAGCGGAGTTTATGATCAATTGTGAAGACTGAACTTCCCCTTTGTGAAATGGAAGATTCCACACAAGCCTTAAAAAAGACTTGAGGGGGATTATCCTGGCACCAGAAGACCATGCTGCCATTTCTTTTAGTGGTGGCTAAGGCTGCAGGAACATTTCACCCCTACCTTTAAGCATAGTGGGGTCTGTGTAAGAAATTGAAGAAAGAAGACTTTTTCTGGCTTATCTCACTCTACTGTTTCTTCAAGGTGGAGTCTTTGAAGGGGGAGGGGGGTGCCAAGAGACCCCCCTCCCCCAGGAGAGAAGAACATTAGGCTGGCCACCCTATATCTATGGCAATATGACACCTTCCAGGTGAGTAGTTAGGTGCAATTCACTCAAAGCTTACACTTGTTTTGCACTGTAACCATATTCTGTTTGGATGTCACGCACTATGTGTTCAGTTATGAAAGTGCAAGTATGAAGTGAATGAATCAAACCCCTTGTTTTTTACCTTTAATCTGTTGATATCTGGGCTTGATAGGTTATGCGAGTAGGTAGGATTTCATGTACCTCTTGTCCCTAATGTCTGTAGTGACCCATTTCTTTCCTAATAAAGTAGGTAAGTTAAGTAGACTTGCTTGCATCTGTTTGGCTTTCACAATTTACACTTGGTGTAGAACTGCCAATTAGCTAGCCACACATAACCCTTCGCAGTAATTGAATCTTGTTGCAACAGGAAGGATGTGAGGGCCTTTTGAATACACCCTGTAGTAGATCTGGGTGCTTTCCTGTATCGGTTAACTGCAGTCATTCAGAGACAGGGACCAGTTGTGCATGTAGTGCCTGAGACCTGTGAAAGGACAAAAATAATCATTGCAGGAACAGATGTCCAGAAATGTGGTATGTATTTCTGAAGCAGTCTTTTCACTGGAGAACACATATGCTAAAATATGCTGGGCACATTGATCATACGTTTCTTTGTTTCTCTTTATCATATGGTTGTGTTGGGTGTAATTTGAATTTATTTGATCTAGAGGCTTCATTTAGTTTGGATATGAGATATTTCTAGATTGACTTAATGGAGTGATTGTACTTATTTCTTTAGCCAGATCTATATTTCAGTTTCAATATATCCTATCATTATTTTTGTAATCACAGTATTATAATGGTAGTAATAATCACAGTATATGGATAGAATGCTTGTCAGAATGCTTCAGATTACAAGGCCTTTGTAAGTTAATATTTCAGTCTTATTGAGCATTGTTGTTCAGGGGTAGGGAACCCCTGACAGGGGGCTGGCTACGCACCCTCTTGATCCCTGTCAATCTTGGCTGGTAAAGTCTTGTGGGAAGTAATGACTGGATGGTCCATTGTGGTTAATGCCTTGCTATTGGAGGTAGTTATGCCCACTGCCTTGAAAGAGGTGGTAGTGTGGCCCCGTTTGAAGAGGTCTTCATGGGTTCAGAGGTTTTAGAAAATTGCTACCCAGTCTCTAATAATTCCTTCTGGGCAAGGTGATTGAGGGGGTGGTGACCAGCTAGCTACAGGTATACCTGGAGGAAGTAGCGTGAGATACCGGTCCCAATCAAGGTGTTAGTAAGAGTATACAGAGCCTTAAACAAAGCTTGGGACTGAGGTACAGTATCTAAATATGTTTTTATTATAAAATTTTGCTACTTGGGTGTTTGCTGCTCTGGAAGCATGGGATGGGATAGGAAGAGATAAAATTTAATACATAATAATAAATTGACCTGGCACAGGTTCGTTTTGTCTGAGACCTCCCCCCACACCCACCTGATACTATACAGTGGTACCTCGGGTTACATACACTTCAGGTTACATACGCTTCAGGTTACACACTCCGCTAACCCAGAAATAGTGCTTCAGGTTAAGAACTTTGCTTCAGAATAAGAACAGAAATCAGGCTCTGGCAGTGGTGCTTCAGGTTAAGAACAGTTTCAGGTTAAGAACGGACCTCCGGAACGAATTAAGTACTTAACCCGAGGTACCACTGTATGTAATGCCAGGTGTGGAGCAGGTAAAGACATGGCTGCCAAGGAACTATCAGGAGCCTTGGAAGTGTGTTGAGGTTGTACCTTAAGCTGACTGGGTACGTTACAGAGTTTCCATTTGGGAACTCAGTAACACAGCTGTCCCCTCTGTAGCTATGTGGTATGTGAATCTGTGAGAGATAGTAGCTTGGTGAAGGCAACCTAATGTCAGAAGTAAAATCTAGGCCAGAGACTTCTAGTTCACAGATCAGTCCCATGAACCGCAAACCTGTGTATGTTTATCTAGAACTCAGTCCTAATGCACTCACTTGTACTCCCAGTAAGCGTTTGCAGGATTGCAGCTTTGGCAATAGTGGAATTAAAATACTTTATTGTCACTTGTACAACTTGTATACAGTGAGATTACACGAGCACCCCCCACTCAGCTCTCTTAATTCCCCTCGTTTACTGACGCACACCCACCAAACCCGAAAGTCATTTGCCCTGTTATCTTTTCATTCAGCAGCCTAACAGCCCACGGATAGAAGCTGTTCTTTACCCTGTTGAAGCAGTAGATAGGAAACTGGAAGTTCAATTTAATGGTTTCTGTGAAGGGTACTTGCTGAAACTGACACGTGATTCTAGGGCCCAGGGTTGTCTGTCCTGTCTGTTTAGTCTCTGAGTCCTGCCACACATGTTATTGAGTTCATACTAGCATAATTTTGCACTGAGGGAAGGGTGGTTCAACTGGCGTGGATAGGATAGTGCTCAGTGTGGCCACTGCCCTGCCTACGTGATGCCACTGTCTCTTGCCAAGTCTGACTTGATCAGTTGCACCCTGATCAAGTTGTGGTATCATGAGCTGCTGTGGTGGTGCATAATCACAACGCATGATATCACACTGGAGCAAAAGCCCAAATTGCTTCCTTACATAGCAAGTCACATGCCAGGCTAGTAATCCGACATGGGCAAAGCAGGGGCTGGCATGGGGTATTTTTGTAAAGTTCTGTTTATAGTGCCTATTTGCTCACTACTCAGTATACTAAATATTGCTTTATGAGCACTATTTTTGGCACTTGACCCTCTTGCTTTGACAAGTTCCACAAGCCTCTGCTCTACTTTTTTTTAAACCTGTTTGATTACTTTGATCTTTGCTTTAAAAATTCAAACTTGTGAAAGCCCTGATCACCTAGTGGGCTTATTAAATCAATGTGCACATTTCCATACATCTGAATACAGCAAGTCCAAACATGATTGTAATTTACTCCCAAGAGTTGTATATGGGCTTCCACAATACAGATGGCGCTTAGCTCTGATGCCATGCTAAATTAGAGGGGAGGAGATTTCAGGATGTCCCAGATGAAAGATGAAACAAATATGCAGAAAGTGCAGAAGGGGAGGGTGCACGTGGAAATGCTTCTGTTTCATGGAGCAAACTGGTTGTATTGACTGCTACCTCGTATCTGCACAACAGACGGAGTCATTAGGACTTTAGGGAGAAATTCAACCTTGCTCTAAAGTGATTGTTCTTTCATGGACTTGCCAGATGATATGATTCCCCCCTCTGTGCACTGTTCCAGAGTTCGTATTTCCCCTCCCCCCCTGAGGCCCCCCCCCCCCCCGGGGAAGGGAAAACTGATGTCTCCCCTCCCCTGACAAAACTTCTGACAGGGCTTCCTCTGGCGACTCATTAGTTGAATCCCACCGTAAGTCTCCAATAAGCAGCCCCCATGCTTTTAACACTGGAAGATTGGCCTTAAATGGGGTCAAGTTGAATCCACCACAGTGTTTTACACTGTATATTCAGTATTCTATGCAGCATGTCCTAATTTAAAGTTAAATGTTGGCTCATAAGGTCAGTGATACTGAAGTAATTTAATAATGGTTGGCTAGGCTTCTATTATGGGCAAGATGTTTCAGCGACTCCCTGTTTAGTTCCAACATCACGTACAGTATTCCCTGTGAATACTGAATTCCACCCATCTCTGGTTTTCTGAGCTCATGACTGTACAAGTACTTTGAGGCCCTAATTAACTCAGTCTCTTCGAAATATGTTCAGCCTCTTATGACTTTGTGCAAATTAATGGGGGAAGAGAGAGACTTGAGATCCAGGTGAGCACAGAACCTAAACTGAAGATGTTACTGTGATGGTGGATGGCTTTGGGTAGCAGCTCCAGGGTCTTTTCTGGGGGATCCATGTTATCCCCTTACTTGGAATGAACCCAAGCAAAGCCTTGGACTTACACCTGTCCTTCACTTCCATGTGGCGAGGAGGAAGACTTTGCTTGCATTTACTTTTGGTTTCACAGAATCCTGCTGCCTTGTTGCATGCAATGTAATAATCTATGGTTTGAAGTTGGCTTGTTTATTTGACCAGAGTTTGTTTTAAATTCCAATCTTTGATTGGTATAAAACACCAGACCTCTGTCAAAGTAAACACTAATGAATTTCTTTTCCCAACTGTTATAGGGGGAAAGAGGGAACATGTGAGATTTCATTCATTCTGACCTGTGCACGTATCACTGAACAATGGTTTAGTGTAACACACAAACGAGGTAGCTGTCTGTTTGGCTACTTAACATGCACAGCATAATAGTTTATCCTGTCCGACCAGAGGGCTATTTCAACTGAAATGTGTCATGTGGTTTCTCTCTTCTCTTCTGCAACACCTGAGAGTTTTGTTGTTATTGCCTTGATTGTGGGCGATCCCAAATTTAATTAGTGTGCCACTCTAAATCAAGATAAACTCTACTCAAGTATAGCCAGGACACACTTCAACAAGCAATGCCTTGGCTGCATCTCTTACTCCCTCACTTGGAAGTAGTTGTATGTGTTTACTGTGTAATTTTGGTTCCTGGGAACATAAAAGCCAGTGGAGAAATAGTCTTAGCTAGCCAGGTCAGTGGGAAGGGACATCCTGGATGAAATGTGAGACAAACTGGGGTGGATGTGAAGCTTGCCTCCCCTGTAGAAACTATTTGGGCTTCATGAGGGTGGCCTCTCTCACAGCTGGATAACTCTTAACATTTCACTTCACCTGTGAGCTGCTCGTCTCCATTCTTAAACCAATGAATTGTTTTCCTGCAAGATTATTGCGTAAATTACATTATTTTTGTTTACAGCTATGCCCAGTATAACACATTTGTAGTAAGTAGACACAGGTACCTGCAATATGTTCTGTGCTGGAATGGGAAGCCTGTAGCTTTCCATATGTTTTAGGGCTCCAACTCCCATCAGCCCCAGGCCAGGAGTTGTAGCCCAATCCTCACCTCAGGAAGAAGTGGCCTGTAGAATCTAACAAGATTGCAGGTAGAAACATCTCTTTTTTTTTTTTTTTTTTTTAATTTTTTATTATGAAAAAATGCACAGATTACAATATAT